AGAACAGGGAGTCTGGAGAGAAACTGTGCCTTAATTGAAATCCCAGCTCTCAGCTCAATGCCCGTAGCACAGTGGTTACAGCACCAGCCACATACACCGAGGCTGGCGGGTTCAAACCTAGCCCAGGCCAGAGAAACAACAATGACAACTGTTAACAAGAAAAATAGCCTGGTGCTGTGGTGGATGCCTGCAGTCCCATTTACTTGGGAGGCTGAGGCAAGAGAATCACTTGAGTCCAAGAGGTTGAGGTTGCTGTGAGATGTGATGCCACAGCACTCTACCCAGGGTGACACAGTGAGACTGTGCCTCAAAATAAAATAAAATAAAATAAATCCCAGCTCTCCCTTATCAGCTATATGACCTTGGTCAAGTTATTTAAATAATCTGTGTGTCTGTCTCCTTATCTATAAAATGGGGATGAGAAGAGGAACTGCCTCGTTGGTTGGTGTGCACTCACAGAAGAGTGACTGCAGGCCTGAAGGAAGTCTTCACTGAGCGTTAGCTGCTACTGGAATGAGTCTAAATTACATTCACATGAGGAGGAAAGTGAAATACTGTTTTCAGCTTATAGCATGCATCACACTTCACTGTGACTGTTTTTCTTCTCCTGACTGTGGACAGCACAAGGACAGAGACAGCATCTGTTTTGACCCACTTTGTCATCCCAGCATGCAGCACAGGCCTGAGTGGAGGGGGTCCAGGTGTGTGGCATTTAACGAAACGCCATGGTAATCGCAGAGTGTGGACAACTAAGAGTGACCCTCCGCGATCTGAGCCCTGCTTCCATCCTTGCTACCCCAGAGGAGAGGCTCAGGCATGCTATGGAGCCTAAATGTGGCCACCTCTCTGGGGTCTTAGGTCCCCTTGTTTCTTGCCTCTGTTCTTGAAAACAGTGCAGGAAATGATGGGAAGGACCCTTTAGCCTTGTTTCAGGGAAAGGATGAGGATGGAGAATAGGGGTTGGGAAGCTCCAAGGAAACCCCATCTGTTACCTACCAGGAATATGCAGGCCTGAATGGTTTAGGATAAATCATCTATGACCAGTTATATGCCCAAAGGAGCCCTGGGAGGAACTAGGAAGGCGGCCCCAGGACCGTGGGCTACTCCTGAGCAGCTCCTTCAAGCTCTCCCCTCTTGGTGGGCCCAAGGCTTGAGCTGGCTCTTTGGTGGTCAGTGACATGGTTAATTAAAACGCCTCCCCACACACAAAGGCCTTTCACAGCATCAATCTTTTACTGTTCCCAACAGACCTGTGAGTTAATCACTCCCTCCTGTCACAAGGTAGGTTATAAGAGACACAAAGAATTCAGACCAAGGTCAACCAGCCCTGGGCTCACAACCCCCACTCCTCCTTTCCCTCCATTTCTCCCCAGCTCTGTCTTCCTAGAAGATCATGTAGGCATAACATGGGTTAGGAAGACCTTAGCCCCAGCAAGGCCCTCAAGACCACCGACCCTTCTTTACTTCATAGTAACAGTAAGGAAATGTGTTTAGCCTCTCCCTGGAGGCTGCAAAATGGCCCAAGGACTCTGAGGCTAGAGAGGGAATTCAACCCAGACACCACGGCTTTGGCAGGGCCCACTGTAAGCCACTGCTCCTTTGAAACGGTCTCCGGTGGGAGTGCTATCCATTCCTCACACCCATGGTGGCCTGGGAGAGAAGCACAAAGGACCTTATGAGAAAGGCATCCAGAAAGTCAAGGATTCCCAAAACATGGCATCTCTGGGTTTCCCACCAGAGAAATGAGGCAGTGTGGGGGTTGCGAGAGAAAGAACCATAAGGCTTCAGAGCAGAGATACTAAGGTGATAGGTGGAGAAAGGCTGGCTTCCTGAGTAAGAAGCAGGGCCTTTTAAATCAGTAGCCTCATTAACGATAGCAGATGGGTCTGAGACTCTTTAGGAAGGAGCTGGAAGAGAGGTAGGCTTATAGCTCAGAGGCTAAACACTGCTGCTTACCCAAATCAGGCTCTGTTGAGTCACGTAAGCAGCCTAGACAGCAAGTTATCAGCTGAAAGGGCCACTGAGACGTGAGTCAGACATGGCCACAGCTCCAGTTCCCAAATCTGTTTGCCTCAGCAACTTCCCTTCCTAATGTCAAAGTGAAAACACAAGGGAACAGAATCCTGCTAATTGAAGAAAACCACCCCGTAATACTCTGGCTCAAGCTGTGCTGGATTAGGCCAGACAAACCTCAGGACAGCCTTCTTTTCTGTTACCTTGGAAGACATCTGATCCTCTTAAACATCTGCTGGGATGACCTGCTTCCTCCAAGTGAGGAAGCTTCTCCAAGAAGGCAGAAGGGCAAAGCCAGCCCCACCCCCAACACACACACATACAGGATGGGGGAGAACTGGACCACTTCCGCAGCTGTGCAACAGTGACCTTCCCCTTCACCTTTGATGAGCAGCAATTACTCTAATCAGAACCTGGATTTGGGAGTAAGGGGTAACACCTCATACACTTAAGCATATTCCTAGCTTCACATAGGAAGGTGGGTGCAGGTAAAGACTGACACAAATCTTGGTTCTGATCTCCTGTGTATAGCGTGTGTCCAGAGCATTAGTATTAATAATAGTATTAAACTATGTACCAACTGTCATCTTGTGCAGAGCCTGGGTTGTCTTGGTTTTCTCATCTGAAGTCTGTATGTAATACTTCTCTGACAACAATTTAAAGGAGCCTTGGAGGTGCCAGGCACTGTGCTGAGTCTGGGGCCAGTTCCTGGTCCTGTTCTCAACAAGCTCACTCTGTGGGGCAAACTACAGACATTCTACAAGAGAGCCTGCACGGATCCTCCTAAATTCGCAGACAAAACCAAGAAACCCCAGGCACCATGTGCCTACCTGCAGGCACAAATTCTAAATGCCTATTTCTGTCTGCCTCCCAAGTTTCAACACCTTCCTTTTCAGCTAAGATAGGGAAATAGGTGAAATGTTGCCAATAGTAGCTACATTTGGTACAGAGCTCCTGGTCTATCCAGAAAGTAAATCTGGGCTCATGGTCTGTAGCTCAGCAGCCAGGGCACCGACCACATACCCCAGGGCTGACAGATTGGCCCGCCCAGCCCAGGCCTGCCAAACAACAATGACAACTACAACAACAAAAAAATAGCCAGGCATTGTGGTGGGCACCAGTAGTCCCAGCTACTTGGGAGGCTGAGGCAAGAGAATCACTTAAGCCCAAGAGTTTGAGGTTGCGGTGAGTTGTGATGCCATAGCACTCCACTAAGAGTGACATAGTGAGACTCTGTCTCCAAAAAAAAAAAGAAAGTGAACCTGCAAGAAGGAAGCAGAAAACACCACACAGGAATAAAATATATGAGCAGCACTGAGACTCAAATGTGACTACTGGGGCTCAGCACCCACAGCACACTGGTTAAGGCACCAGCCACATACAATGAGGGTGGCAGTTTCGACCCGGGCCCAGGCCTACTAAACAACGACAACTCCAACAAAAAATAGCGGTCATTGTGGTGGGCACCTATACTCTCAGCTACTTTGGAGGCTGAGGCAAGAGAATCGCTTAAGCCTAAGAGTTTGAGGTTGCTGTGAGCTGCGACACCACAGCACTCTACCAAGGGTGACAAAGTGAGGCTCTTGCCTCTTAAAAAAAAAAAAAAATGGGTATTGGGTCCCCAGTCCAGCAGCTCAAGCACCTCTAGTACCTCTGTAAGCATTTTTTTAAATTTTTTTACAGCAGCATTTTAAATCAACGTATAATCTGATGCCTCCAAAGTCTAAGACTATGTGATCATAGCACTAAGACTTAGGTGGCAAAGACTCTGCCACCAGAAAGTACCAAGAAGCCTAGATCCATTAGGGGATAATCCTTCAGGTTGAAGGAGGCTTCTATCCAGGACAATAGGGACTCCAGGATGCTAAAAGGAACACATTGAATTAGCTGCTTGACTATTCTTTGCAATCCTATGTTGCTCCAGTTTTTGCTAAACTTCACCTAACAGTAATTTGAATCTCAACAAGGATTTGGACATGTAAGTGGAAGTCATAAAGGTAGAGCTCTACTACCCTGTTGATCCTCCTTTATTTAGAGAAACAACTACAAGCCAGTCAGATTAGCTTCCTCCCTGACTTAACACAATTCCCATTCACCACCCAAATGTCACCAGTGAAATGAAACATACTTGTAAAATCAGGGTTTTGTACCTTTGCCATTTATTTTTTAAAATCTTATTCAAAATATTAAATAATACAATTTCAGATATGAAAAAAATTACTGCAAAAAACAGTTCAGGTGTATTTCCATTGTGCTTCCTCTCCTTATTAGGAAAGTACACTGTCCACCTGAGAGACAGGGTGGACAGCCTTCTCATCCCATCCTAAAACAAAGCATAAGCCCATTGGTTCTCCTGGGCCTTGATTAACATATATTAGAGGTTACATTTTCTAAAAAATTATAGTGACACTTGTAAGTCAACCATGGTTCAAATCACATATTTACACATTGATCAATTCTTTATGATAGAAATACAGGCAAAAATAAAGTAAATAATTTCCAGTTCTGTTAAAAAAGAGAGAGAGAAAATAAAACAAGTATGGGGAGAAAAGGTCATTACCTTTATGTACACGAACAACTTCATTCAGGTATAAGTTTCATTTGAAAGGCCTACATACAATATTATTTAAGTGATAATGTCCCCTAAGAGTTATTCAAACTTACTATAAAATAATAAAGTGAACAAATGTGATATAATATTAAACTCTGCCCATTGCTTGAAACCTTGGAGGAACCCAGGTTACAATCAATTGCTAACTAAAAGAAACTCCACATGTGTTTAATATTTTACCACAGTTTCTACCTCTAAATTTAATTTAGTAAACCAAAAAATGGTATCTCTTAACTTTTATCTATGTCCAAAGCAAACTGCAGTCTCTACTGCCAAAATGTCTAAGGGTCCTCAAACTTTTTAAACAAGGGGCCAGTTCACTGTCCCTCAGACTGTTGGAGGGCCGGACTGCAGGCCCCAGGACGAGTTGGCTACTAAGCAGGACAGGCAGCAGTGGCAAAAACACCTGGAGGGCCAGATAAATGTCCTAAGCAGGTCGCATGTGGCCCATGGGCTGTAGTTTGAGGACACCTGGGATTTATGTAATGATTACCGAAAACTGTGGTTAGATTAAGCAATATCATTACCTTAAATTATGTTTAAAGTATCTAAAATATCCAAAGCAGTTTTCTTAAAAGAAAAAATATGAACTGCGAAGCATTATCAACACATTTCCTTGTACATTACAGTTTGGGACCACAGAGAAATGTGCGCTTAAAAAAATAGTATTTGGATGGAAGAGGGTGAATCTGAGTCAGCAGTAACCAGATATGGTAGAATTTAGTTACAAGTTTGGGATCTTTTAAAAGTAGTATCACTAAATTCCAGAAGAAGTATAATAAACTAAAACAATAAAAACTAACAGTGTAAATATAAGGTATGTTTAACTCATATTTTGGACACTTGATTAAATTCAGCTCTAAAAGTATAGATAAAAAATTATAGACTCCTTGTTTGTGACATTGAATTTCCAAAGCACCAAGGCAAAAGAGAGACCATCCTCTCATTTAAGTACCAATTGCCTATGGCAAACATCTGCACAATATCTTATAAAAAGTCAAGCAAATAAAATTACATAATAAGCAAACTCCAATCACAGTGCTTTAAAAAATATAATCATTGGTGATCTTCAAAGAAGGCATTGCCTCATTAACATTCTGGTCTAGACGATGATACTCCACTGTTTTGGAACACAGGCCATCACGCCATTTCCTGCTTTGAACCAAAAGGAAAATCTGGAATAAAACAAAATTAATTAAATATGCAAAATAGAAAACAAAAAATATGGTAAACATTTTTATAGCAAGTGAAAAAATTTCTCTTCTCTGTTCCCAAATACAAAAAAAAAAAATAGTAACAACAAAAGGGTTAGTTTCCTTTCCACATTATAAACAAGGCTAGACAATGCTTCTCAAATTTTAATGTACACAGGAACTTTTGCTAAAGACTTAAGATTCCTGGGCTCTACCTTCAAACAGTGAGTTAGGACTCGGTGACCATAGCTCAGTGAGTAGAGCACTGGCCACATACACAGGGGCTGGCAGGTCAATCACAATTGCAACCAAAAAATAGCTGGTCATTGTGGTGGGTGCCTGTAGTCCCAGCTACTTGGGAGGCTGAGGCAAGAGAATCACATAGCCCAAGAGTTGGAGGTTACTGTGAGCTGTAACGCCATAGCACTCTATCAAGGGCAATATAATGAGACTCTGTCTCAAAAAAAAAAAAATTTTTAATTTAAAATAAAAAAGGTGAATTAGTATAGTCTGGTGGAGCACAGAAACTTATTTGTTCAAATTAGAGATGGCCCAAAGCTAAATACTGGGATACAATATTATTGGCATTCAAAATTCTGTTCATCTACAAATACTTATACAAAACTAGTGAACGCTAACTACAAATCACCAGAAGGGTTCATGTGTTGGCTGTTATCAGACTATCACTAGATTTACAGATTCTCAAAAGCTGAAAGGCATTTTGAAATTATCTGGTCCAGCTTCACCATTTATCATATAAGAAAATCAAGACCCCAAAAGGGAAGATGTCTTTTAGGGAATCACAAAGTAAGTTACAATATCGTTAAGAAATGAGACTTCCTGACTGCTATGTATCAAAAAGGAAATTGCATATCTGATCCCCCTCTAAGTACTTTGAAAGGCTTAACTATTCAGCTGTGGGATTACACTGTATTGAGATGCACCCTTACACTAACTCACCCAGGCCTATTTTTTGGCCTCTTTGCTTCACGGAATCCAACAAACCCATTCCAGCATAGAAATTTTCATCACAATATTATTTCTGAAACAAAATTTAGAAACCATCTAAATGACCAATTGCAAAATAGCCAAATCAATTACGCACCTATTAAATCATGGGGTTTTTTTGTTTTTTTTTCTTTTGTGAGACAGAGCCTCAAGCTGTCACCCTGGGTAGAATGCTGAAGCATCACAGCTCACAGCAACCTCCAACTCCTGGGCTCAAGCGAGTCTCCTGCCTCAGCCTCCCAAGTAGCTGGGACTACAGGC